ATCGATCATTAACTTCCGACTTCGCATCATCCCAGAAATGACTATTACGGCGCGGAATCTGCCTCGCTCAATCTCACCCAGCTCTACCGCAAGTGCAGGCCTGGTCAAGAACCTCCCAAAGAGTTGGGGAGAGACCGTGATTGGGCCATTGACTTGATCCCTAAGGTTAATCATTTATTCTTGCTTGTATCACCTGGGCACCAAGTAACAAGCATTGACTGTCTGATCTTTCCGATGATTGCAGTTCATGATGTTCAACGGTGAGCTCACCAATATCCTAGCACATACCGATGTCACTCGCTACCTCGAGTTCAAGCAGGTAAGTACCTTTCACATTTTGGTCACATCCATCATGAACTGACGTCATTGTCATACCACAACACGCAGATCGCCGGCTCCTATGTATTGGCAGCCGGAAAGGTAGCAAAGGTTCCTTCTACTGAAGTCGAAGCCATCACATCTCCCTTGATGGGCATTTTTGAGAAGAGGAGGGCCAAAAAGTTTTTCGAGTGGGTAGCAAACTACAAACCCAACGACCCTTCCACTCACAGCGGTAAGCATAGTCTACTGGCAGGCTTTTTTATAAATACCAGACTGATGTAGATAAGTTGTTCTTCTAGGTATTGATCTTGACAAGACATCCATGCAGGATGTTTTTGCCAAATTTTCTCTCGAGCCTGCTACAGTGGACTTCATCGGTCATGCTATGGCCCTCCACTCGGAAGACTCGTACAAGACCAAACCAGCAAGAGATACTTACGATCGAATCATGCTTTACACAACCTCCGTCACTCGTCACGGAAAGTCCCCTTTCATCTACCCTCTCTATGGTTTAGGCGAATTACCTCAAGGTTTTGCGCGGTTGTCCGCCATCTACGGTGGAACTTACATGTTGGATAAGCCAATTGATGAGATTGTTTATGACGCTGATGGAAAGGTTTGCGGTGTGAGGAGTGGGGAAGAGACAGTGAAGGCCAAGAAGGTCATTGGTGATCCTAGTTATTTCCTTAACGGTAAAACCGAGCAGGTCATGGAAGAAGGCAAGGTGGTCCGATCCATTTGCCTTTTGAAGCACCCTATCCCCAACACAGACGAGAGTGATTCTCTCCAACTCGTCGTTCCACAAGCTCAGATCGGTCGTAAACACGGTATGTGAAATGTTCAGACCACTCCCCCTGCACTGAACACGGCGTTCATTTATTTCTCGACTATTCAGACATCTATATTGCCGCTATCTCTTCGACCCATAATGTTTGCGCTAAGGATTACTACGTGGCTATCGTCTCTACAATCGTTG